CATTAGTTATCTTCCATTATTTGGAACTAATATAAGAATATCTAATGTACTACCTTGATATAAATGTACTTTAAGTAGCCTTTTCCCTCTGTGGAAATTTTCATTACAATTTAAAAATCCTTAGGTGTTAGTAACAAATCAGATCTATGTTATCTTGCTGGAACCTGGAGGGATATGAGGAAATGTGAGAGAATTAAGAGGAGAGGTCATTGGCATTGATTTTACACAATTTAGGGTTATTTGATTCCCTTTGGAGAAAGGAATAATGTATTTTTTGAAAATTTGATATTACATTTTGTAAAGCTATATATAAAATTAAAATTTTACTGTTATACACAATATCATAGAGAAAAAATATAATATAGAAATGCTGAATATACTGAGAGTTTGAGTTGTGTTTTGCAATCTTCTTGGGATATGCCATGGTAACTTTTTAAAGATACGACATAGCACATTATGTAGATAAACAATTGTTAACCCAATTAAATATTTCTGAATGTGACTATTAGCCCATAGAACAAGATTTAGAGAGAATAGTAAAAGTGAGTGGCATTTAAAGGTAAAAAAATTATTTTTGATGTAAAACATAGTCACCAATTTTTCCTTAAAGAGAAAGAGAAATAAATGACACACTGTACAGTGGAAATTGCGGTGATACCCATCTGGACTGGAGCTACAAGCAAATAAATAACATCCTACAAGTTTGCAATGTTATGTGTATGTAAAGCTGATTATATGTAATTTTATCTTGCACACAGTAGTACTTATATGGCTATGTTGTGGCTATTTGATTTTCTATTCTGCTCCTTTGAACACCACTCGAACATGAAACATGACAAAGTGTACCACATAATAATATTGGAGGCTTACCTGTTATAAATGCAATAACTCTCAGTTAAATCACATTTTTATTTCTTTTTGTTTGTGGATTTGTAATCATGAGAAACTACTAAATCTCATGCAGAGGAAAAATAAGATCCAATGTTCCTGTAATATGGAAAAAAGATACAGATGCTTCTTCTGACAACCACTGGAGCTAACTGAAAAAAAAATTTCTTTTACTAATATTTGTTGAATATTCAAGTGTGGTTTCCACTTATACTCTAAGAAAAAAAGAAATGTTTAATCAGATGCAGATTCAATTGTAAAATGAAAAGTATTTTACCATTATCATGAACCTGGATACCTTAAAAGCTCTTGATGTCAAGAAGTTGATATATACATATAGATATCTATATGTCTATATCTAGCTATATGAATGTGAAGTGAAAATATTTTATATCAATGTATCAGCAATAAATGTCATTCTTACAAGTATTTACATAATTGTAATGTTAAAATATTTTTGATAAAGTCACAAGGAGACTAAGTCCACTATAAACCTATGGATTTGGAAGGCTACTCAAACAGGAGAATGAATTTCAGCTGTTTCCAAATCTGTGTTTAAAAACATCTCTTTTATCTGTGCTTCACCTCTCACTTTTACTGTCCAATAGATATAAAATTACATGTCTACAAAGTTTAAATGTTTTCTAAGCACACACCATATATATGTTTCACTAATGCTTGTAACCTCTCAATGTTGCAGGAGATGCTAAAGAATTAACTTGAAGACAAAAAGATATGGAGTTGCATGGCTGCTCAGGAATTATGGATCAGTAAAAAGCACAGAAACTGAATCAGAAATGGTTGTTTGCTTTAGATTGCGAACCAGAGCAAGATGTCATTTCTGTAGACACTGGTGAGACACAGCACCATGTGAAGCCTCTGATTGTGTTACCCACAATGAAACTTCCTTCTTGATTCTTCCATGAATTTCTGATCATCACACCTTTGAGGCCAATTTATGAATTTTTGTCACTATTTGTACTCTCTCTGAGGAGCTACAAAAGAATTTGTTGGTTATTCACAAAGCATTTCAATGTTTACTAAAATGCTTGGAGGTTGTCCTCTAATTGTTAGGAACAATTTATTCTCAACTTTGACCTTATTTATTCATTGTGGGTTCTAAAAAACACTCTTTTGGGCATTTACACAAAATTCTGAGTGTTATATTATGCAAAATAAATGAGTTCTGGAAATCTAGTCTAAAATATTGTACTCATAGCTAACAGTACCACGTTTTCCATTTGAAATTGCTGAGACTGCTAACCTAGCAGTAAACATAATATAATAAACAAACAAAAAGTGCAGCATTGAGTCACAAAAAAATGCCCAAAGAGGTAAGAATCTTGAAAATATTAGAATTCTATGAATCAGCAACTAAATCACATTTACAATGAATTTTTCATGAGAAATACCCAGAAGAGAAAAATACATGGGGATGAGAAACAGATTGCAGGTTTGAAGAAAGGGAGGAACGGGGATGATGACTCAGTTGCACTTTGTAGTAATGCAAAAGTTTTGTAACATTCATATGCGATCTTAAATGTAAATTTATTTTTGAGAGAAATTTTTAAAAGCCTCGATCTATTAAATAACTGCTAGGAATGACATGAAAATGAGAAGTTGGATCCCTGGTATTTCAGTTTCTGCTTCATATGAGAGAACTCGATGGGTGGTGGTTGCTCTACACTGTGAATGTAATGACGGGCCCTAAATCTTTTCCTTTAAAATTCTTAGTTTTATGGCATGTGTATTTTAACACAAGACACTCATTTTGCATAGACTTAGATATAATTCTACATGTTTGTTTTCTGTGTGTCTTTTCTAATGAAGTGCTTCTCTACTTTGCATGTGTCACTAGAATTCATTCTTGGCAGTTAATTGTGTCTATTAAATGCAATAAGAAATTGTTAAAGTTTATGATAAGTTTTGATTTCTAGAAGTTTCAAATATAGTGTACTACTAATAATTTGTGTTTGAAAATTACCAAACATAAATATATATGCCACACATAATTATATGTGTACAATTTATATGTGTATAATTTATTTTAATTTAACCAATTTTTGCAATTCATTTTATATAAGTATAATTTATACAAATGTTATATACTATATATCAATATTATATATCCATAACAAATGATAGATACCACTATAAATTATGTTTATATTATATATTCATATAATATAAACTACAAATGTGTATTATACAAATCATAACTGTACATACATGCAATACACACACACGCATGTATATATGGCAAAGTCAGTCCAGTAACACTAAGAGTTCTGGTAAATACTAACACTGTTGCTCTATATTTTCATAAAATGAACTTTTTCTCCTCTAATCAATATTATGTAAGAGTTTCAATGATTTATAAATTCACACTAGCCAGTTATTATTTTAACTTTCCACAAAAATTGTACCTTTTAATCTGAATATTTGTGCATCTGCTTCTTATTCTGATCCATCCTGGTCCTAATCCAAGAGTTTTGTTCCTCACTGGAGATAAACCCCGCCTGACATTAGACAATCTGAAGGAAGCTGCCACTGATAAGTTCATGTATTATCCAAAACTGTAAAATTGCAGATTCCTAAAAATAATTGTATGATACACTAGTGAATGTGTTACTCTGAAACGTTCTCTTTTGTATTGATTTTTATTCTATGGTTTTATGCCATCCATATTCATTCATTTAGTAGTTATTATTTGCCATTCTGAATGTTGCAAACTATACATAAAAGGGAAAAACTTAAAAAAATTTAATATACAAATTATAAAATGGATGTTGACTTCTAAAATCAAATAAATATTATGTCATTATACCTGAGCATATATTATTTTCTTTGTGCACATTATTTGAAATCTGTTGAAGTTCTGAACAGCATTTATTTTAGAAATATTAAATTAGGGTACATTTATGCACATTTTCATTTTTCAAATTAAAGTATTAGAAAAAACTATTCTAAAAATAATAATTTGTGAAAATAATTTGGGACAATAAAAAGTAATTTGAAGTATATTAATTTAAATATTTATACAATCACTAATATAAACTTTTCAATTCTTTCATTGCAGGATACATTTTGTAAGGAATTATAATATTGTATATATGAATAAATAAATTGTGTTGTATGTTTTCATCGGTGAATAAGGTATCTATTGCCTAAACTATTAGTAATATTCATTAGCAGATGACAATATATGGAGGGTTTTATTTTTCAAATAATACTTTTATTAATATTTTTATGTGTATTCACTCTGTGCTTTCACTCACATATATATGTACACTGAATTACTCAAAACTGTGTGCTGTGCTGGACCAAAGGCTTGCTGAGTAGCATATTTTTTTGAGTGAATAGGCTCTCTCTGGTTAATACATGAACAAAAGGTCATTAATGAGAAAAGAAAAGTATGCTAGGATCACAATATTAGCATATCTGCTTAGAACACTTGAGTATGTCCATATGACATATTCTTTGTGATCATTCTGCTAAAATGAATCTCTGGAAAATGCAATCAAGTCTAATTGTAACACAACCACCAAGCAGTATATGAAGAATAAAAGAGTAAGAATAAAATGGTAAGATTGATCTCACACAAAAACAGAAGCACCAACACAAAATGATACCACGATACAGGAAAGTTTATTGCAATTGCAGAGAATACCAAAAATTATTTTTTTTGGCACTGAGACTGAAGCAAACTGATCATAATTTCAAGTAACAGCTGAAAAATTAAAGACCTTTCACGATCCGGTCTCAAAATAAATGAATAAATGCTGGGGCTGTAGCTTTAAGGATATAGGATTAATACCCAGTACCTCAAAGAACAAGAAAGGCTTTTTTCTCATCTTCTGTGCTGACTACTCCTTTACACGCCCACATAGCATTCTAGATAGACCACACAATTGTAAGGAACTAGAAAACTTCTTTGAATGTTACACTAAAATTGATCTCTCTACCTTAAGGAAGGCATCATTTCAAAATGTTTCATTCATTGATATATTTATAACTTTTTGAAATGTAAAGAGTTCCATAAAGTCCAAACTTTGAATATAAATGGAGCCAATGTATGGAGGAGAGGAATGGTATTGCATGACTTACATTGTTCATGTCTTTAAAGAAAAGCATTTGCATATGTTTTTCCATATCCTATGAAGAGCATATTTTACATCTTTGTTCCTCAAGCTGTAGATCAAAGGATTCAACAGTGGGTTTATCTGGGTATAAAATATGGAAGCCACTTTGTCAGTGTCAAAGGAGTGGCTGGACTTGGGCTGCAAGTACGTAAATATCAGTGTCCCATAGAACACGGTGACCGCAGTCAGGTGGGAACCGCAGGTGGAGAAGGCCTTGCCCCTGCCCTCTGCAGACTTCATCCTGAGAATGGCTATGAGGATGAGTAAGTAGGACATGAGGACCAGCAGAAGAGAGGAAATCGAGTTAAAAGCTGTAAATATCATGATTATAAATTCAACCTCATGAGTAGTTGAGCAGAGCAAAGAAATCAAGGGGATACAATCACAGAAGAAATGATTAATAACATTAGGTCCACAGAAAGATGAACTGAAAATCTTTACAGAAATGAGAAGTGATACAAATGTGCAGTAGAGACAGGGAATTGCCACTAGTACCCAACACACTCTTGGTGACATGATGACAGTGTAGAGGAGAGGGTGACAGATGGCAACATACCGGTCATAGGACATCGCAGACAGAATAAAAAGCTCACTACCCAAGAGAAAAGCTAAGAAAGTTAGCTGTGTAGCACAACCATAATAAGAGATTATATTTTGATCTTCCACAAAATTTACCAGCATTTTGGGTCCCACAGTTGTGGAATAGCCAAGATCAGTGAGAGCCAGGTGTCTGAGGAAAAAGTACATGGGAGTTTGCAGCCTGGGGTCCACCTGGGTGAGGATGATCATGCCCAGGTTGCCCAGCATCGAGGTCAGGTAGATGACAAGGAACAGGAGGAACAGTGGAGCCTGCATCTCAGGCCAATATGTGATGCCCAGCAGGATGAACTCGGTCACCACTGTGAAGTTGTGTTTTTCCATAAGGATTTATCAGCAAGTCAATTCTGGAATGAATAGATTTCAAATATTATCACCTGATGGACATTTATTAAGCAAAATTAATGTATGCAATATGCTTTCAAACTTTCCAATTCAAATTATTTGAAAGTAGTACTTATTTTTACCAGTGACAATATAAGTAAACTGAGATAAATGTAGATGTAGGTCTGTGGTTTTCAACTAGGACAATTGTACCAAAAACCCCCACCTTATTCGATATCTACATACTATCTTGTGGTTAAAATTGGAAGTAACCCTTGTGTTCAGGGATTGGAAACTATTTAAGCTGCTGATGTCTATATCTAATATTCAGTTTAGAATACAACGTAGCCAAAAATATCAGTAGTTCCATGGTTGAGAAATCATGATAGACATATAGATGGAGGAATGAGATAGAAAGGTTTTTCTATTTGTTCTTTCCATAATTACCAGTATGTAGTCACATTTGAGAACCATGAAATATTATAGATTTCAATAGAATGATATATTACATTTAGTTTCTAAATATACATACAACATCATAATTTAAAACAGTCATCTAAAATTCATGTACTTAAGGTCTTTGCATCCAAAATTGTTAAAACATGTGGTAAATATTGAATACATATATACATTTAAAAAGTATAGCACTTATGTAAATTAAAACATTATAATGAAAAGCTATAACATATTTAAAGTATTTTTGTAGGATACCTTGGGCAAGCGATTTGACCAAACTTCTTCCTTCACATAAAATATAGCAAGTCCTTCTCAGGGTTGTTTTAAGCAAGAAGGAATTTTGAATGGTTCAGTGTGCCAGGGATTGGAAAATGGTTACACAGGCCATTTACACGTGTATCATGTTTTTATCTATCTTTTTTCTTTTTTTTATTAAATTCTTTTATTGGTACATTGCAGGTATACAACACAATTACATTTCTCATTGGGAATTGTACTTTTACATAACGCATCTTTGTTCTTATTGTTTCCCCATTCCTAGCCCTCCCTTCACTCCCTCTACCCTTCCCTATTTACAAAGACTTTATTTCCATTTTTTCCATTTCTCATCATTTTTCCTTTCCCTTCTTTCCTTTCCCCTGCCCCTCCCACTACCCCTACCCCTTTGGACCTTTTCTTCCTATTTTACATTATCAATTATTCATTCTAATCATTGGTACATTTTAGGTATACAATATAATGACGTTCATCATTGGAAATTTGCACCTTTACATAGTCTGTCTTGGTTCTTATTTTTCATCCTTGCCCAGCCCTCCCTTCAACCCCTCCAGTCCTCCCTATTTCCTATTTTTCCATTTTCTCATATTAATCCCATCCCCTTCTATCATTTCCCCTATCCCTCCCACTTCCTTCTCCTTTGCCTCTTTTCTTCCTATTTCACATTACCTATTATACATTTTAGTCCTTATTTACACTTTCAGTTTCTCACATCAGAGAAACTATTCGGTATTTATACACCTGTGTCCTATTTATTTCACTTAAGAGTATTGCCTCAATGTGCATCCACTTAGCTATAAATGTCTCTAGTTTCTCATTTTTTATGGCGTAGTACTCAATTTTATCTACCTTTTAAGTGGTGACAGTGACCTACCAGAAAGAGATTTGCTTTGCAGTGGACATGTACACTCTTCTGGATTGTGAGTTCACTTCTTCACTGGGGCTAAAATGATGACCAGTTGAGGAATAGATCAGGAGGTCAGGAAACAAAACTGATCCCAATCTTCACCTCATCCACCTCCACCATGACTACAATTAGATAATCCATGTACTCTTATTTTGCATTAGTTATCTTCTATTATCTGTAACTAATATAAGAACATCTAATGTACTACCTTGATATAAATGTACTTTAAGTAGCCTTTTCCCTCTGTGGAAATTTTCATTACAATTTAAAAATCCTTAGGTGTTTGTAAGAAATCAGATCCATGTTATTTTGGTGGAACCTGGAGGGACATAAGGAAATGTGACTGGATTAGGAGAAGGAGAGGTCATTTGCATCGATTTTACACAATGCATGCTCATTTGGTTCCCTTTGGAGAAAGAAATAATGCATTTTAAGTGGAAAATTTGATAATACATTTTGTAAAGCTATACATGGAATTAAAATTTTACTGTGATACACAATACCATAGAGACAAAGTATAATACAGAAATGCTAAATATACACAGACCTTTGGAATCTTCTTGGGATATGCTGAGGTAACTTCTTCCAAATATGATATAGAACATTAGGTAGATAACAAGTGTTAACCCAATGAAATATACTTGAATGTGTTTATTAGCCCATACAACAACATTTAGAGTTTATAGCAGAAGTGAATGGTATTTAAATATAAATAAATTATTTTTGATGTGAAACATAATTGCCATTTTTTAAATAAAAAGAGAAATAAATGTCACACTATAGAGTGGAAATTGAAGTGATACCACCCAGACTGTGACTACAAGCAAACGAATAATATCATACAGGTTTGCAATGTTATATGAATGTAAAGCTTATTGTATGTAATTTTATCTTGCACACAGTAGTAGGCTAGGTTGTGGCTCTTTGATTTTCTATTCTGCTCTATCTGACACCACTCCAACATGAAACCTAACAAAGTGTACCAGATAATAATATTGGAGGCTTACCTGCAATAAATGCAGTAGCACTCAGTTTAAATCATGTTGTTGTTTCCTTTGATTTGTGGATTTGTAATCATGAGATCCTACTAAATCACATGCACAGGAAAACTAAGATCCAGTGTTCCTGTAAAACGGAAAAAGGATACAGATGTTCCCACTCATACGCATGAGAGTTAATTGAAAAATAATTTGTTTTACTCATCTTTATTGAATATTCAAGTTTGGTTTTCTACCTTTACTCTGAGGGAAAAAAAAGTTTAGTCAGATGCAGATTCGATTAAAAAATGAACAGCATTTTACCATTACCATAAACCTCTATACCTAAAAGACTCTTGAATCTAAGAAGTTGATATATATCTATATCTATATTCATATCTAATCTATATCTATATCACATATATATATGTATAATGTGTGTCAGTGTGAAGTGAAAACATTTTTGTATCAAAATGTCAGCAATGAATATCATTCTTACAATGATTTACATAATTTCAATATTAAAAAATTTTTTATGGAGTCAAAAGAATACTAAATCCACTAAAAACCTATGGATTTGGAAGGCTATGCAAAGAGGAGAATGAATTTCTGCTGTTTCCACTTCTGCCTTTAAAAACATCTGTACACTTTTATCTGTGCTTCACCTCTAACTTTTACTGTCCAATAGATACAAATTTACATGTCTACAAATTTGAAATTTTTTCTAAGCACATACCATGTATATGTTTCAATAATGCTTGTGACCTCTCAATGTCACGGAAGATGATAAAGAATTAACAGGAAGACAAAAGGATACTGAGTCCCGTGGCTGCACAGGAATTACAGAGTAGTTAAAAGCACAGAAACTGAATCAGAAATGGCTGTTTGCTTTAGATTGCAAACCTGAGCAAGATGTGGTAATTTCTGCAGTCACTGGTGAGACACAACATCGTGTGAAGCCTACCTCTTTGTTACCTGCAATGAAACCTCCTTCTTGATTCTTCCATGGGTTTCTGATCATCACATCTTTCAGGCCAATTTATGAATGTTTTCCCTATTTTTACTCTCTCTGAGGAGCTACCAAATAATTTGTTGGTTATTCCCAAAGCATTTTTATGTTTAGTGAAATGCTTGGAAGTTGTCCAATAATTGTCAGGGACAATTTGTTCTCAACTTTGAGCTCATTTATTCATTGTGGCTTCCAGGAAACACTCTTTCTGGGTATTACCCCAAATTCTTTGTATTACATTATGCAAAATACATGAGTCCTGGAGATCTACTCTAAAACATAGTATCCATAGCTAACAGTACCATATTATCCATTTGAAATTGCTGAGACTGCTGACCTAGCAGTAAACATAATGAAATAAATGAACAAAAAGTGCAGCACCAAGTCACAAAAAATGCTAGAAGAGGGAAGAGTCTTGAAAATATTACTAGAATTCCAAGAAACAGGAACTAAATTACATTTATAATGAACTCTTTGTGAGAGAAATATCCAGAAGAGAAAAATACATGAGGATGAGAAACAGATTGCAGGTTTGAAGAAAGGGAGGAATGGGGAAGATGACTCAGTTGTACTTTGTAGTAATGCAAAAGTTTTGTAACATTCATATGCGGTCTTAAATGTAAATTTGTTTTTGAGAGAAATCTTTAAAAGCCTAGATGTACTGAATAACTGCTAGGAATGACATGAAAATGAGAAGTTGGATCCCTGGTATTTCAGTTTCTGCTTCATATGACAGAACTCGATGGCAGTGGTGGTTGCTCTACACTGCGAATGTAATGATGGGCCCTAAATCTTTTCCTTTAAAATCTTATTTTTATGGCAGGGGCATTTTAACACAAGACACTAATTTTCCATAGACTTAGATATAATTCTACACATTTGGTTTCTGTGTGTCTTTTCTAATGAAGTGCTTCTTTATCTTGCATATATCACTAGAATTCATTCTTGGCAGTTAATTGTATCTATTAAATGAAATAAGAAATTGTTAAAGTTTATGATAAGTTTTGATTTCTAGAAGTTTCAAATATAGTGTACTAATAATAATTTGTATTTGAAAATTACCAAACGTAAATATATATGGCACACATAATTATATGTGTACAATTTGTATGTGCATAATTTGTATTAATTTAAACAATTTATGTAATTCAATTTATATAAGTATAATTTATATAATATGTTATATACACATAATAAATGATAGATACCTCTATAAAATATGTTTGTGTTATATATTCATATCGTATAAACTACAAATGTATATTATACAAATCATAACTGTATATGCATGCAACACACAGGAACATATGTATATATGGCAAAGTGACTCTGCTAACCCTAAGAGTTCTGGTAAATACTAACACCGTTTCTCTAT